GCACTCTATGTTCTAAGATCCCTCTCAGCTCTGACACCCTATATTTTGTGCTCTAAGTCCCCTTTCCCCTCTGAGAGCCAATGTTCTAAAGGCCCTCCTAGGCCTAGGGTGAGGGAGGGTGGAATGGGCAGCCCCCCCCCTCCCCGCCAAGCCCAAGTATGGAGAGTCAGTTGTGACCCTCATAGATCCGGGAAAGCCTGAGGTTCCCCATATCAGTCCTTGCTACTGGTAAGCGTGATGACCTCTGGGGCTTTTAGGGGTCAGGCCACCTCCTCTCTGGACCTGCTCCCTCCTCCTGCCCAGCACTGTGTGTGTTTTCATAAAAAAGGGCCTATGCTTTCTCATTACCCGCAGTCTTGACCCCTTTGAGAACATCTCTTACAGTCTGCAAACTGAAGGCACAGACTGGGTCGATTTCACAAAAGACCAGACAGCTGTCTTCTAGGCCACAGTCATTAGGAATAGCCTGGGGCCAATTCTGAGCTTTTAGGGCTGATGCCTGGGGATTTCAACCAATTTTGATATCTGTGCCAAGCAGTAAGGACAATGATTGGGGGCTCTGATTCATTGGAATGGATTTATTTCCTCTGGACCTTGTGACCAGCCGCTTCAGGGTTGCTGGATGTGGGCACCTCTGTCTCTCTCTAGTGCTTTACACCTTTTCCTTTCCTTCCTTCCTTCCTCCTCCCTCCCTCCCTCCCTCCCTCCCTTCCTTCCTTCCTTCCTTCCTTCCTCCCTCCCTCCCTCCCTCCCTCCCTCCCTCCCTTTCCTTCCTTCCTTCCTTCCTTCCTTCCTTCCTTCCTTCCTTCCAGCTGAGCCCAAGAGATGAGGCCTTGAGGTACACTTGAAAAGGTACACAGAGTCCCTGACTTTTTGCCTGCCTTCCTCTCAGATGTCCTAGCAGCCCCAAACATTTGATAGAAGATGGGCAGAGCTGCAGGAGCCTGGTTTCTTTGCCTGTTATCTGAAGCCAATAAGAATTTTCCATTTGGAGGACTCTCCATTTCCCCCCTTGTAGGAGGTGGTGGAAAGAGCAATGATTTTGGAGTCAGAGAACCTGCCTCTAAATCTTACCTCTGCCACATCATGCCTGTGTGACCTTGGACAAGTCATTTAACTTCAACTGACTTCACTTTTCTAGGCCCTTTTTAAAATGAGGAGGTTGGATTCCATTGCCTTAAAGGTCCCTTCCAGCCCCGCCCCGTTCTATGCTTGGAGGAGGGATTGGTGATTATGTGGCTGAAGCTGGAAGCGTCAGGAAGGAACACAGAGGTGGAGGGGGACGGAAAAGGACAGAAGGAGGGGGCACTATTTCTTTCTCACAGCTAAGACAAAATAAGCCAACTTATTCATAGTCCGCATGCCTTAATGTGGTTCATATTCTTCCCTTGGCCTGTTCATTTGAAAAGCCTGCAGAGCAGACTGTCTCTAGGGAAATTTGATTATCCTTTAAAAGTTAGCAAAACGGTCTGAGGGCTTGACCCTCCAAGGGATCATATTTTGCTGTGAGATTTACATGTAAATGGACACGAATCATGCGCGCTGGCCGTGAAATGTTTCTTAACCGCGGGGCCAGCAGTAAAAGCTTCTGCCCAGTGGACCAGATCTGGGGTGGAGTCCCAGAAGGAGTCCCAGAACAAAGGTCAGGTGTGAGCTGGAGGGAGAGGAAGCTGGGAGCCGGCCTTTCACGTCCAGACTCAGGCCGGACTGGCCAGCGCACAGGCTTCAGGGCAGCACTTGGAGAAAAAGGAAGGACAAAGCCCTGGGTGGCAGGGCTGTTGGACATTTTAGCCCATTAACTAAATTGGAAGGAAAATGTACTTTAAAGTGCTCTATGAGCTTCGGATGGCTAGATCGCTGTCAGATATGATTGGGATTGTTTTCTGAGCTATTTCTGTACTTGTTAAGCTTTGGAGAGACTTAAGAAAAATGTTTAATGGACTCAATGGAGAGACTTCCTCCTGCTGCCAGTAGGCGCGGCGCCTGCTAATATTGATGTAAGCAGGCAAATCATTAACCCTGTGCACCGTATCTCTGCGCTGTTTGCCGTTTGTGGCGCCGCGGCACGTGCTGGAGCTGACGGCGTGGGGTGGGAGCCACTGGGGCCCTCGCGCCGTCTCACTCTCTGGCTGGGTTTTGTTTTGAGCTGGGTTTGAGCATCGGATCCAGTGTTTCTATTTTAGCAGGCTTACTGAATTTGAAGACCACATTGGTGACTGAAGACACAGGAAAGGTCTCCAAGGAGAGAATGGGACCAGATTACTGACTGCAAGTGACGTTGGAAATGATCACACTGCTGTGTCCCTGGTGCTAAAACCAAACCCTGATGTATATTCTGGAGTAGCAGGAAAGACAGAAGAAATGATCTCAGAAAGACCGTGGCTGAATTTGACATTGGAAAAATCATTTCCCTTCTCTGACCCTCAGTTTCCTCACCCATAAAATGGGGAGTGGGGACGAAATGGCTCAGGAGCCTCCCTGGTTTTCCCTCCTGGAAGGCTAACGTGGTTGGTCACAGGTCTGTGCATGCAATGCTATGGATAATGTGAGGATCTAGAATGATTGACAGTTCTGGACCCCAGCTTTACAAAGGATCAAGGCAGTGTGGAAGGAGATTTGGCCTAACAAAATGAAATGAGGGAAAACTCCAGCTGTCCAGGTGGATGTCACAAGAGACCCTGAGTTAAAGGGGGTTAAGGGATGCTACCGACCGAGGATGAGGTCCTAGCAGGTCTCAGGGATGGCCAGCTCTTTTCTAGTGGGCTGTTTGTCATTTGAATCAGAGGCTGCTTTTTGAACAAATCTCTCTGCTAGTGGGAAAGCCCTGAGGAGTTATGGAAGGAATAGATGAGGAGAGTAAAGGTATCTTGGCCTTTTCTACTTTTTCTCTATAGGTTGTATTGACAATGTAATTTCCCTCTGTGCCCTAACTGGGAACGTTGTCCCTGATTGGGGGGGGGGGGGCACTGTGGGATAGTTTTGGACTATCACATTCCACCTGTTGGCAGACAGGGTATGCATTAAACTCTTTTCCATAAGTAGGCATGCAGGTGTTTTTTTTTTTTTAAACTTATACCTCCTACCTTCTGCTAGGTACTAGTTACTCTTAATTTTGCTAGCAACAAAGGTCATGGTGAATTTAGCTGTCACCAAGGAAGACTGTGGCTTGGGCAAATTCTCAGTATATTTAGTCCTAAGTTGCAACGGCCACTAGCGAATTGTCTGTGATAAAGGGGCCCAGGTGGTTAATGTACACTTGGTCCCCAGCTCCAGCTTCAGCCTAGAGGAAGGGACTCCAATGAAACCAATGTGAACTACTGAGGGACTGGTCTCAGGGAAAAGGACCTCCAGGAAATGTATATTGATGAGAAGGTCATGATGCCGACTCTGCCCTTGGGACCAATGAAAGAAAAGAGGATTATAGAGTTGAACTCACTGCCCAAAATGCCAACACTGGCATGGTGGAGCTTGTCCTCATGGTAGAATTTACTGACTGCCCCGTGTTCTCGCAGTGCTGTTGTTTCACTTCTTTCCTTTTTGGCACCGAGGGTCTGCATGCCTAGTTGTGTAAGAGTCTTAAAACATACCCAGTCTGCCAAGGGGTGGAATGTGATAGTCCAAACACTCACTCTTATCTCTGGGAGGGTAAGGGTGCGGTGGGGTGGGATACTATTGTTGCTGGCTGTCTTTCCTCTGGATCACATTGAATATCCCTTCATCCTGTTTTTTTGCTTTATTAATATTTATGAAAACTGTGATATGTTTTTACAACGGGATTCTTGCTGTTCAGTCTCCAGTGTCTACCTCCCTTTCACTTCAGAGATTGGAAACCAATCAGATTGCACTTGAATGAGGACCTACCCTCCTCCAATAAACTCATGGTCCTTGTCTGAGTCATCAAGCTGCCTTATGGAGGTGACAAAAGACCCATTGATTAATAGGATTGGTTGAACAAACAAACTTGGTGACACATGGTTGTGCCAAATCTGAAGGCAGCCTCTCAGGGGCTCTCTGCTGGGATGCCCCATCTTTATCCAGCCCCAGCCTGAAGACTACTGTTCCCGAGGTTCTGGTGACCACCCCCTGGGTGTTTCAGGTTAGACTTCAGGCAATTCCTTGTGAATTAAAATGTGCCACAACAAAGACCTATTGCTTTAAGCATCCCTGGTCTGATTTCTTCTTTTGTGAAGACTTCCCTTAGCTCCTAAACTATGGAAATGGACTGGGTTGTTAGGGAAGGTGTCACAGAAATTAATGATTTCTGGGACTAGGAAAAACTAGCCTGCCAAAGGGAGGGGAGCAGTCCTAGAAAAAGGAATGGTAATAAAGAAAACATAAGACTGCTCTGAGATAAAGGGAAGTTGGAATCCAGAGGGAATAGGAATACACATACACACACACACACACACACACACACATACACACACATATACACATATATACACACACACACACTATAATAATCTTAAGGTTGAATTCATGTGCGGCAAAGAGGAGGAACTGGCTTATACCGTATGTTGGTTGGGGTCTACAGACTTTCTATTATCGAATGGAAGGATGAGAAGGGAAGGGGACGTATGGGATGAGCTTGGTCACTGCCTTTTTTTTTTAATTGACTTCCATTTTTGCTTCAGTTCTTGTTGCTTCTATGCCCTGGCCAGCAGAATGGGGTCTCCTAGTCCTAGAGGTGGGTAGGACGAGTGTGACCAGGAAAGCCCTGACCTCCCAATTCAACTCTGGTAGTTGTTCTGTCTCTGCCTCAGTGGCTATGGCTCTCTTGGCCATATTGGGACCTGTTCCAGTTCATGGCACGTTATGGAGACAGTGCACTTTCCTTGATCCCTCTGTCTGAACACATGCTTTCATATGGGTCCCCATCTCTACCCCAAAAGCATTCTCTCCATCCAGTGCCAGCTGACCTAGAGCAGGTTATGAAGACAACCTGCTCTTTCATGTCCTCCTGACGCTGACAAAGAAAACACTTTACAATTTCCAAAGAGCCGTGTTGAAACATTAAAGCCAATTTTAATCGAGGGAGTAATTGACATCACACTCATTTATTAAAACCAGAAGACATCTTTATAAAAACTACGGTATAGAAAGACAAAAGCAGCGCAATAACGCTAAGTGTAAAACACGTTGTGGTTATTATTATTTGTATTATTATTCATATTTATTAGTATTTGGTTTCCCTGGACACCGTTTCTTAGAAACACCCCATGACTGAGCCCATCCAGGGTTGACAAGAGAGAGACAGAAGCACTGATCCTGACCCAATGAGCCCACTCCTGGTCACTGGAGAGGATGGAAGAAAACACAGACTGCTTTGGGAGAGTGCTATTTCCAACTAAAGAAGATGGATAAACTCTTTGTCCTTTAATACTGTCTCAGTTATTGCAAGTAACCTCGCCTTGGACTCCATCAGTTATTTTATTGAATTGTGAGACATTTCCTTAGCTCCGAAATAGAAACTTCAGGGGAAAATGATGAACAGAATAACATCATAGGAATTGGTGAAGACACAAAAGAGTTATTTCTGGCTAATCCCTAATGTGATCAACTCAACAGCGAAAGAAATTCAATAGGTTCTAAGATCTAATGTCATTTAACTTCAAGAGTTTACTATGTAATCTGACTTTTTAAAAAAGCCTCTGAGTGGGAAATCTTTGTCTTGGTGTTATCCAATTTATAAGGGTCAAATTCGTATTGACAGTTCTTTCAACAACCTGAACCAATTTGGCTAAGAACGGGCCAGGTTTGGAAAAGATGATGTATGTAACAGGAATCGTAGAGTCTCAGAGCTAGAGGAGACATGCTGAAATAGCAAGATTAGAGTCAAGAGAATCCCAGGTTCTGATATCAGCCTGCTTACAACCTGTGTGACTGGAGACAAGTCCCCTCCCCTCTCTGGACTAGTTTTCTCCTCTGTAAAATGAGAGGGAGAACTAGGCGACCTCAATATTTCTTTCCAGTTCTGAAGTCTAGTGGTGACCTCATTCAGCACTTTGTTTGTAAAGCATCAGGTCAGTCATGTAGCCCAAGACAGAAAACGTGGCCAATATACATGCTGCTTCTGCAGGAAGCTCCTTTCCCTCTCCTTTTTGTGTGTGTGGACACAGCACGGTGATGCAGCTGCCATGAAAACACCTTTCATGGTCATCCCTCCCATTTTCAGAGGGACAGTGCAGCCTAAGTGTGTCTTCTTTGCTAGGGGTTCAATGCCATAACCAGGTTGGGATGTAGCCCAAGGAGAAATTTTTAATAGCAGTGGCATGTCTAATTGCACCAAAGAATTCAAACCTTCCAAACATTCATTGCTAGCTGTGTTATGGAATCTGCATTCTTGACTGGCACCATACTGCCACTGGTAGCAAGGGAACACGGTGCCACCATCTGTGTCTTTTCCTATGCATTGTTTTTTGTTCCAAATGCTGCTGTATACACATAAGGTGCTTCCCTTTGACTCTTAAGCAATATTCTTATTGAAGGTGAATCCAAATTTGTGGAGAGGAGCTGCTACAAGGCTGCCAACCCATGGTTGGGTATACAACTATGCAGGGATTGGCACAGTGTTATAAGTCTTAAAAGAAATGACTTGTGATGCCAGAGGCTCATTATTGATAGATGTCACAAACGACAGAAATCTTTGATGTTTAATTCAATTGGATGCAACAAACATTAATTAAATGCCTACCCTGTGTCAGGCACCATGGGAGGAATGGGGGATGTAAAGACCAAAATGCCAGTCTCTGAATTCAAGGAGATTACGTTCTGTGGGGGAGGGGAATACAAGTCCTTGGCATTGTGCATCTGTTTCGGCTGAGGACCCAGTAACTAATAGTAAGTAACAGAGGATAAAGTAAAACTTCCTAAGTCAATATGATGTGATTCTGACAAAGCAGTCTGTCTTGACGTGTCTGGGTTCAGTGTCCTGGTGGTACCTTGTGGCAGCAGGTTTAGGGTCTTCCTATCAGGCACTCTGGTCCTGGATTGGTTAGGAGTTGTTGACCCTTTCATAGCCCATCTGTAGCCAGGCATGGGAATCCCAGGGTGTAGACTGATAATGACGCTCCTGCTAATCAAAGAAAGATGTCTTCACCGCAACCTCATTCTTCCCAACACTGGGTATGAATGTACTCTCCATATCAGGGACTGAAGGGCTTCCAAACTGCCTGCAGAACCGCATTAGGAGGGCTTTGGCAAGACCTAGAATTCCATGGTATGTTTGTTCTCAATACCCTCCTTCTATAGACGAGGCAATGCAGGATCAGGGAGAGGAAGGGCCACTCAGGGAGTTAGAGGCAGAGCCAGAATTAGAACCCAGGTCTCCTGCCTTCTAAGCCTGGGTTCTTTCCATTGCATCATACTGTCTCCCCCACTTAGGAGGTTGCAGCGAAGGTGACCTTTTGGGAGATAGAATGAGCCAATTGGAAAACAATGGGCCCCGGGCATCATTTGCTCATAACCCCTTCCAGTCATTTGCCTTTGTCCTATGCTTATCAGAGCTATGCATCTGGGCTTGATACTGGAGAATAGAAAAGCAGCTTGCGTGTCTGACCCACTGTAGGTCAGACCATGTCCCCAGCGACACGGATCTCACTCATCCTTTGGGTTTATGTAATGCTTCAGGCAGGGTCATTGCCTTAGATCTCTGTTCCCAGGTCTCTTGCAGCTCTGACATTCGATGAGTGCTGGATTGTTGGGAAAGTACTTAATTCATTAATTTTGACCTGTGTCAACCCTTCCCTGATAAATGTATGAAATGGACATGGCCCATGAGACCCATGAATAGCCTCCTTTATTATAGAACTAAGCTTTTTACTAGTTTTTCCCAAGATAAAGTACTGTATTATCTCAGGAATACCTTTCTCCTACCTTTCCCCCAAGGCCCTCATGGGTAGGCACTGATTGTTCTGTGAGCACTGCTCTGTGCCAGAGACATCTCAGAGGACTCCTGTGCAACAGGTTGCAAGTAATAAACTTGTACTTTCCCTAACCTTTCCTCTTGGGGTCCTCAGATATGATCAAGTCCAGAATGGAAAAATTTTATCATAAGATTGAAGGATAGAATTATTATAATATTATATAATACATATTATATAATAGAATTTTTGTGGAGGTGTATGTTACAATGGAGGGCAGATGTCTAATTAATGTAATGTAGAACATAGCTACATTTATGTCATGCCCTCAAGTGCAGTCAATTCAGATATAGTTGTGGCCAGACAATAATTACAATGAAAACAATCAGGAGTTCTTAGTGGACCACCAAAAAAAAAAAAAAGACAGTGTGAATCAACAGAGTGACATGGCAGACCAGAAAGCTAATGAAATTTTAGGCTGTTTTAAGAGAGATGTAGTGTCCAGGACTAGGGAGGTGCAAGTCCTTGTCCTTTTCCTTCATCAGGACACATTTGGATAATGTTCAGTTCAGGGCACATTAGCTTGAGAAAGACATTGGTATGTTCTAGGTGCCCACAGGAGTGCAACCAGTATGGTGAAGGGGCTTGAGTCCATGCCACATGGGGATCAGTTAGAAAAACTGGGGGATATTTAGCCTAGAAAAGAGATGATATAAGTATCTAAAACACTATTAGGGGAAAGAGGGATTTGGCTTGTGCTTAGCCCCAGAGGGCAGAACTGGTAGTAATAGCAGAAAGTTCTAGGAAGCAGATTTTGGCTTGAGAGGAGAAAGAATAATTAGAACTTTCCAACTGTCTACCTGAACAGGTAGTGAGCTCCCTGTCATAGGGTGTATCCGCATAGCAGCTAGGTAACCACCTGTAAGGGGTATTAAAGAATGGACTTGTGGTTCAGCTCAGGGCTGGACTAACGGGTTTCTGAAGTCTCTTCCAACTCTCCGATTTTTCAGTTCTGTGACTCAGTGTTTGGAGCGGTATCGCCCAAAATCTAGCTCTCTGATGGGAAGTTTTTACTGTTCTGAGAGTTGTCAGTCCTAGCTCAGCAATTTGCTCATGACCTTCTGAGGATCCTGGATCCATAGTACCCAAAGTCATTAGGAATCCGTCCTTCATTAGTCAATCAGGAAACTGTGCTGCTCTGAAGTATCCTGTTAATTAACAGGTGAGGAGTAGGCTGGAAATAGCACCACAAGAGGGTGGAAAGTCAGTCTGGATTGTCAGGGGTGGGATGTTTTAACGCACAGCTCCCGATTATCTGCATGAAGGGGGAGGGGTGAAGGGCTAGGATGGAGGGGGCACCATGATGGAGGTGCCCCCCAAACACTTCATCTGAATGAATCTGGGTTTCATCTCCTCCATCAGAGGTGAGGAGACGGACGTGACTATGGGTGAGAAAACAAGCAGCAAAGGCTGGACAAGCCACAGAGCCAGTACAACAGCAGGAGAGAGTCTTGACCTGTAAGTCCAAAAACCTGGATTCGCGCTCTGGCTCCATCACTTTTCACCCTCAAGAGCTTCCCTCTGTTTCCTCACCTGAAAATGGGTAGAAGGATCAGCGTACCCTCTATCTTTAGGGCTACTGCAAGGAGCCAGTGAAGCGATGCCTGTGAAATGCTTTTTGTAGCCCAAAGACATCATGTCATCACGGGACTGATGATTCTACCTCAGCCAGCCCCCTAGGTTGGGGAGTGGGGCTGTGTCCGAGCCTGTAGGGGACCCTGATAGGCAGAGCCCCAAGATGAGAGAATGAATAACTCTCCTTTCCAGCCCAAAGCCTGTGGTGTTTTCTAAATTGTCTGCATCCATCGGTTAAGCAGAGACCTCAAAGTCCTGATGACAGGAATACCGCTAACCCCCTATTGATGCTGTAAAGCATCATGGTAGTGGGGACTTGGGTGGGTATGGGAATCTACCTGCAAGATGCACGCATTTTTAAATTAACAGCTTAAGGTTGATCTTAGTCAACAGCAAATGCTGACAATCAAATGACTAGGTTTCCAGATGTGTTGTTATGGGAGCAGCTGAAGACCTGTTCCCCTACCTTGGGGATGGGTAAGGGCTGTACAGGTGGGTGTGGCTAAAGTGGAAGAAACTAAATAAGCCAGTGAGCATCTACCAACTATTGGCTCAGTATAGAGAGTCCAAGACACACACCGAGTACAGTATACATAGGGAGAGGGTAGGAAAAAAGCATAGAACTGCTCATTAATAACACACAATTCCCAGAAGGAAAAGAACTGTACAAAATACAGTAAGTCACACAGATCAGGATTGAATACAAATTCCTTTGTGAATGTAAGCTTTGTTGGTGGCGTTACCATTTTTTCTTTAGACAAAGGACTGAGGGACAGGGCAGGAGCTCACAGGAGGAGGACACAAGAGTGAGGATAGCTTGGGAAGCTGTGGAAAAGACAATAGGTAATGTGAAGGTCAGCCCTCCATTACCTGGATCTGGCAGTGCCTGGAAGCCTGTGTCCATCTGCACGTCCCACATCTCTGTGGCCGGTAACCGGCGTTCTTCCTGGTAACCCTGACCTACAGGAAGTTCTCAAAATGCTTCTTGAATTGCCAAAGAATGTGAGAGCAGGAAGGACCTTACTGAGTGAAGAAAGATAACATTATGGTCATCGTTGGCACAGCCCAGAACTTGGAGTCAGAAGACCTTGGGTCCAAGTCCTGGCTGTGACAACTTAAGACACCCAGTAGTCTGACCCTCAGTTTTCTCCTCTGTAAAATGGGAATAACAGTCTTTGAGCTACCTATCTCCCATAAGATTGTTTTAAGGAAAAAAGACACATTAATATGTCTAATGCACTTTGTAAAGGGTTATGGAAAAGTCTGCTAAGATGGAGTTAAAGTCAATCAGGGTACTCCAAGATCTCCCCCAACTCTGCCATTCAATGCTGATGACATCACAGGTCTAGAGCTGGGAGGGAGGGATTTCAGGAAAACTGAGGCCTGGAGAGATTAAGTGACCTTCCACAGGGATTTGTCACACAGGGAGTAATTCAGACCTAGCTTTTCAGACTCTAGCCATCTGGTTTTGGGGGGGGGGCAGGGTTCAGACCAGGTTAAGTAACCTGCCCAGGGTGACATAGATATTATGTGTGAGAAGCAAGACTTGAACCCAGATCTTCCTGACCCTGAGTCTGGGTCTTTATCCACCAAACCAGGTTCAGTTCTAAGGTTCCTTCCATATCTAACCTTATAGGTTCAAGGCTACCTGTGGAACCTGGAGTTAGTCATATAAATTCTCTCAGACTCAGTTTCCCCGTTTGTATCTAGAGGGTTGATCAGGAGGGCCAGACCAGCTCAATGTGCCCACTGGGAGGTGTGCCTTCCTTTGGGATTTTGATGACCACTCCCTCTGGGGCTGACTGAGGGTGTTTCCTGGGCCTGGGTAATTGTCCAGTCATTCCCATCTGCTAAGGAGGAGTGTCAGGAATTGAGGGCAATTTGGTGGGGTGGAAAGACGGTGCGTGAGGACTAGATGACCCCTGAGGTCCTTTCCAGCCTTAAATCTACGACCTTGCCTTCTAGCACCTTCTAGCACCCATTTTTTCTCTCGTGATTGTAATGATAACATTTTAGGGCCCAGCGGATTTTAAGACACTGTATGAGAACTCTTTGAAGTTTGATAAAGTGGGTGGGGTCTGTCTGGTGACTCATTATTAACCAGAACCTTGGATTCTTTGGAAAGTCCCCATTTCCCGACCATGCCGGATTCCCAGAATTTACTGTGTATATTTGAAAATAATCCTGGGGCCAGCTTTAGAACAGTGATTGGCAAAGTCACACGGTTCATCCTCAGCTCATCCTTTGGGTAGGGAATTCATACTCTTGGGGTGACTGGCATTGAGAAGCCTAGAATATGAGAAAGAGATTGAGGGACTAGCTAGTCCAACACTGTAAGTTTACAGATGGGGAAACTGAGTCCCCAAGAGTAGTTCACAGAGTGAGGGCTATTCTACTATGCTGCCTTTTCTGGCCTCTAGACCTTTGTTGTTTCTTCCATCTCTACCCATCAAAATCTTACCTAGCCTACAAGACCTAGCTCAGGGAAAGGTAAATTGTCCAGTTTGGCTAGATTCTAGGGTGATAGAAAGGGAATGGTAGGAAATAAGGTAGGTTTGGGGCCTTGAAATGGGAGAATGAGAGAGAAAGCTGGTAAGGCAGACCAATGAAAAATTGCAATGGGCATGGAAAACCAGGTAGAGGTTTGCCTACCTTGATAAGGTGGGCAAAGAGGAGTCATTCATTTTTGAATGGGATGATGGGACCACTTCTCTAAGAGGGACTCGGGAATATCTTACTTTGGCCTGAAGTGGCTGAGGCTGGGCAAGAAGTGTGTCCTGTGATGGCCCTGGGGGAGGGGGGTGTTAAGGGAAGCCCTGAGTGCTTCCCCCTCATTCCAAACCTACTCTTTGCTTGGAGGGAGATGAAGCCACATTCCAAGGAATGATGAGTGTCTCTCTGGGTAGGAACAGCAGAGAGAAGGAAAGAGGGGATAATGAGGTGGAATTATAGCCACTGTTAAGAAACAAAGGGCCACCAGACCTAGATGGGAAGCGGCTATTGGGCATTTCGCTTTGCCCAGGCACCGGGCAGGGAGGCCCTGCTGCTGCATGCTCGGGGGTGAAAAATACCAATGAACACTGTCCAAGGTGGTCCAGATGGGCGTGGTGATTGAGCGACGCTGGGGCTAAGGGGCGCTGGAGGGAGTGACGCTTTCAAGGGCTGTGGGGGCGGAGGAGAGTGGACTGCGGGACTCTAATATCCCACGTTCAGACGCTAAGGGGGAGGGGTTCAGTGAGTCGTGCCCAGCTGGCCCCCTTTCTAGCCACCTTTACACAGACTTGATAAAGTACTTAGATGAACAGTGTTTTCTTAATTGATCTCAGAAGACCGTGACGGAGGAGGGAAAGCTGGGGAGCAACAGTTTCCCACATTTGAGCCTTGATTTCCTCATCTGCAAAATGGGGCTACTAGGGCAGTCCTAGCTTCCTTGTAGGGGTCATAAGGAGATTTGCTGGGAGAATGGATGTGAAATGCTTTTCAATGATAAAATACGCACTGTTATTATTCTAGCATAGACTTAAGCATTTGTGGAACTGACTCTAATTGCATCTATTTTTGTCCCAGACATTTACACACACACTCCTTTTTCAAGCAGAGCTCTCCCCGGAAATTGAAGGCCAGAATTTGGTATCTCATAATTGGGAGATTTAACTCAATTCAATTAAAAAAAAAGAAAAACATTTGGAGGCAACATGATACATTGGAGAACCGCATTGGAGTCTGAAGATCTGGCTTTGGATCCTGATTCCAACCCTTACTAGCTGTGTGACCAGCCACAAATTACTTGGGTTCTCTGAGCCTCTGTTTACTCATCTGCAAAATGGGGACTAATAATCCACGTACTGAAACCACCTCACAGGGCTGTTGAGAGGGGAGCATTCTGCAAATCCCTGAAATGTGAACTCATGTCACTGACTGCTGACTTGCTTCTGTGACCCTGAAACATTGTGTTCCCTTTCTGAGCCTCAGTTTCCCCTTCTGCACAACACAAGGGTCAGACTAGGTTGCCCATAAAGTACCTTCTAGTTCAAACATTCTATGTTGTGGCAATCCAGGAAGCTAAAGAATTCAGAATGCTGTGATGGGATTATTCTGTGACATGGTCACTGGTAAGCCCTGATGATGAATGCTTGAGCTGGGCATTTGCAGAGACTACCACAGAACTTGACTGGCTACTTTCTGGTCTGAGGGTGGATGCCATAGGGATTCATTCTTATTTGTCCTTTTGAATTCAAGCCCCCCAGAAAGTGAGACAACTGGACTGAATCCTGTCTCTGGTACCGCTGCGGGACCCCCCACCCCTCCCCATCCACGGAGCGAGGGCCAGACACCCTGGCTGATCACCAGCTGGCAAACCCCTCCCATATTCGCTGGAGAACTTAAAACAAAACCTCACATTCAATATTCTGACATTTACATTAAGCTTGATTTGGTGACTACTGGAGATTAGGAGGCGGAGGAGGGCGACTTGAACCATTTGTCATCCTTCTTCCCTTGGGTCTGGCCAGAGCGGCACTGGCCTGGCTGCTGCCAGGAGTCCCTTGGTAAAGATGCCAACGTCTTCCTAGTACCCTCAGTCTACGATGGGAATATTGCTTAAGGACTGCTGTCCTGGCACCCTTCTTCACCGCAGAGCATCATTTCCTAAGTCAGCTGAAGGGTCACCGCTATCCACCGCCCGCTTGGCTGGTCCTTCTGTCCCCCTGGATGTCTTTCCTTCTGGAAGCTGCCCGTGGTTTTGTAATCTCCCCTCTCCCATCCCGAGGCACAGCAGCGAGTTTTTCTGAGAAAGCAAACAAACAAAAACATGTGAAAGTGATGCCGCCATCTTTGAAAGAAGGTAAGCCCCCTGAGGGCAGGGGCTGTTTCATTTTTGCCTTTGAGCCCCCAGTGCCAAGTATAGGGCCTGGCATATAGAAGGTACTTAATTAATGCTTATTGAGTCCGTTACAGGAGCTGGGCTGGTTTTTTGCCCAACCTCAGGTATGCACCTTCAGCCAAGACTTTAAGGGCTCTCTTCGTCCTCCCCACCTGAGCAGGGCCTCGAAGGATGGAGAGGATTGGAGGAGGGTCAGAGGAGAGAACAGAGCATTCTGGGGTGAAGGGAGAGGGGGAGAGCTGAAGGATCCCCAGGAGAGAGATGAAACAGGGCTGAATAGCCATCGAGCTCTCTCAGAGAATTAAGTAAAAATCTCCTTAGGGGCCCCAGGTTATTAATGAGCTGAAGAGATAATCCTCTGGTAATCAGAGAGTGAGGACGATAATTCCTGGCATGTGACTTGTCCACATCTTCTCATCCTGGGCACGAAGAAACAAATGCCAAACACAGATGGGGCAAAGGAAGAGGGCTGCCACATGCAGCACATTTGGGGTCCCAGGCCCTGGATTTGAATCTCAGCTCTGTCCCATGTCTGGCCCTGGACAGGTGGCATACCTTCCTCAGGGTTTAGTTTCTTCAACTATAAAATAGGGAGTGGGGGTGGGGGTGGACTGGACAATGTGTTAGGGCCCTTCCAGGTCTAAATCTGGATTTTTAGTGGGGGAAATCCTAGGATTATACACATAGGGCCAGAAAGGCCCTAAGAGTCAACTAGTCCCTCCCAGCTCTGACATCCCCTGTTCTACCTCCCTCCCAGCTCTGACATCCCCTGTTCCAAGCTCTCTACCAGCTCTGACATCCCTTGTTCTAAGCTCCCTCCCAGCTCTGACACCCCCATTCAAAGAGATCTGAACTGGGGAGCTGTACGTGATTCAGCTCCAAAGCTGACCATGGGGAAACGCTAACCACTACTCAAATAAAGATTCCCTTGCCGGCAAACACAGTCCTTTAATTGTACAACAGAACCCCAGGAAACATAAAGAACTTCATCGTGAGACTTCCTTCTTTCTTCCAAGTTTGACAGCTTCAGACCAATTTAAGATGCTGGACAGATGGAGCCTGCACAGGGGAATGAACGAGGCTGCCCATTAAGCTCCCATCCTTCTGACCAGCGAGGGGCCTGCAAAGCTGGCTAGTCACGTGATGGGGCTGAACGAATGCAGATCGTCAGGGGCCATGAGTTCAACTCACCCATTTTATAAGTGAGGAAACTGAGGCCCAGAGAGGTGGCACAGGTCATAAGTGGCAGAGCTGGAATTCACCTCCTGCGTTCCCCGTGGCCCAGAGGAAATGCCACCTCCTTCAGGGAGATGTCACCAACATTATCCCCACCCCAAGGTGGAAAAGAACTGTCCTTTGTCTACCCCCAGTAAGGCAACAATACAGTTCTGTGCTCTTGCATCATGTCCTGAAAGACTGGAGTCTCCCTGGAGGCAGGTGCCATGTTTTCTTCAGCTCTGCATCTCCACTAGGGCTGGGCCTATTGTGAGCTCTGTGCTTGGACATCACTCAGTAAATGTTTGTTGTTGTTGTATCCAGGCCTTTTTCTGAGCTGGAAAGTTAACTTCAGAAGCACCAGGGTGCCCTGGCTGCCAGCCATGACAGGCGCCTTGCGGGTGACGAATCCCTCGCCTGCCTTGCCCATTCATTTCCAGCAGCGGCAGTGGTGTTCTGGATGTGGGGATTAAGTGGTGCCCAATCTATTATTTTTGTTCCCAATGGCAGGTAAGGACAGGAGGTGCTCACAGTAAAGCAATTTGATTCTGGTGAGAGAGAGACTATGTGGGTCACGTGGTCTACCGAGGCAGAGCTTTTGGGTGGTAGAAAGAACATTGTTGTGAATGCAGGCTCTTACCAGCGGTGTGACCTTGGGGAAGTGCCTTAACTTCCCTGAAACTCCCTTTCTTCATCTCTAAAATGAGTGGGTTGAAGCAGATTGCATTAGAGGATCCTTCTCATTCCAGGAATCTCTGGGGAGGAGGAGACAGTAGCTTCTTGTGAAAAGAACAGCAGCCCCCTGAGCCTTCGAACCTTTAGGAGCTATGAATAGCATACCTGAATTATCGTGCCCCACCCCCATTTATGATGTTCTGCTCTACACCAGGGTTCCTAATTTGGGACCAAAAAACCTCCAAGAAGTTCATGGATAGACTTCAGGTGATGCATGACCTTGGATGGGAAAAAAACAATCTTCATTCTCACTATATGTGTGTATACATACATACATACATACATACATACATATAAAATTGATGACTTCCTATAAAATTGATTTTCTTTGTAATCCCACCTACATTATTTTATGCATTTCAAGACAGGATTCCAAGAAGGGTCCATGGACTTCCCCAGATGGCCTGCCACAGGAGTCCAGGGTAAGAATCCCTGCTCTGGACACTCTCCGTCTAATTAGTCGTAGGATCGTAGTATAACAAATTTAGAGCTTGGAGAAACTTTAGAGGTCATCATGTCCTTCCAGATGAGGAAACTGAGGCCCAGAGATATTACTGGCTTGTCCAGGGTCGCACAGATTGTGTCTGAGGTGGAGGCTGAGAGCTTGGACCCTGCCGAATCCAAATCCAGTGATCACATTGGCGACCTCGGCCAAGTTTCCTCCTCTATGGAGTGATGGTCTAGATGCCCTCGGAGCTCCTTCTAAGCTCTGATATTTCATTTTCTAAGAGTTTTCCCAGCCCTGACATTCCCTATTCTCAGGCCCTTTCCAGCTCTGAACCTTCCCTGTTCTAAGCTCCTTCTCAGCTCTGACATCCCCTGTTCTAAGGCCTCTCCCAGCTCTGACCTTCCTTGTTCTAAGCTCCCTCCCAGCCTTGACATTCCCTGTTCTAGGGCCCTCCCAGCTCTGGAATGCTAGGATTCCTATGTGTATGTTTATGTTTGTGTCCTATGTTTGTGTTTATGTCCCCAACATAAATCCCTGGGTGTCTCACAAACATTAGGTGGTTGAATTGAATGGGGCAGAAAGCATTCACTCACAGGCCTCCTGGTTCCAGGACCTGCTGCCATTCCCCATCACTAGGTGAACTCAAGGGGAATAATCAGGCTGGATTATCACCCAGGCATGAAATTGATACAGCTCTTGCTAAAGGAATATTTTGCAAATATTTACTCTCTGCCTTCAGACATCCCCTTCTTGCCCCTCCCCTTCTGCTTCCCTAAGATGCCATGTTCTAGGCTGGTGAGCCCCCCGTGCTGCCCACTGGAAGGAGGGTGGGGACAGAGCCCAGACTGAGGAGAGCAGGATTTGAACCTGGCTCTGCTGGGCACTTACTGCACGTTGCTGGGGCACGTGGCTTTTTCGATTTATATCTTTTGGGCTGAGTGTGGCCTGCTGGGCAGAGAGCTGGCCTCAGAGTCACAAAGACCTGGGCTCCAGGCCTGCCTCTGACCTATCCCATCCATGTGATCCTGGGAAGGTCTCTTCACTTTTCTGTGCCCCAGTCAGCTCCTGAGACTCCACCCACCTTGAAGAGCACTCTCTTGTCTCAATAGAGGGGGTTCCGCCCTAGGACGATGCCATAGGGTCCCAGAGTGAGAGCTGCCTCCAAGGTCCACAAGGATGTCCAGCCCCTGCTCCTCCCTAAGCCTTCTCCAGCTCCTCTGCTCAACCCCAGGGTCCTCTGATCTGTCCTCCCAGTCCCCCTCCTTTCGAATTTGTCGATGCCCTTCCTCATGTTTGAAGCCCAGAGAGGGCAGAGCATGGAGGAGCCATCCCCTCCCAGTCCTGGGCACCGTGCCCTCCTTAAGGGAGCGTTTGGCCTTTTGGCGGCCAAGTCACACAGCTTCTACTTGGGAACATGGATTTTGGGATCCAAGTGTGACATTTCTCAATATCTTTATTTTTCTTTTATTTTGGCCTGAACCTGCACTTTACCATTGATTTAGGGAGTACTCAGCGTGGAAGCTCCTTCCTCCGGGGAGATCAACGTCCTGGAGAATTGCCCGGGATCGTGACGAGGCCTGCCCGGGGTCACGTGGCCAGGAGTGCACTCATCCTTGTGAAATTTCATTTGATCGTGGTCTGAGGTTCTGGGTTATCAAGATCTTCACCCAAAGTGCCAGCAATCTCCCTGGGCTTTGCATACTCACCCAAGCTTGGAGAGCGTGCCAACCACCTGTCAACCTCCACAAATGTTACTTAATCTCCCCTGAGTCCTCTCTCCTACAAGGAAAGCCTCCCACTCCTCTATGATTGACTCTTTCTCCCACTATCCACCCTGCTTAGTCTCAACCTTCTCTTCTCTTCTCAAGGCCCTTAGGAGAGGCTCAGGGGACAGCAAGCAGGCCAGGACGACCTGGGCTGGAGTCTTCCCTCACACAAACACAGGCTGTTTGACCTTTGGCTACAAAGCCTCTGTTTCCCCTTCTGGTTAATGGGGAGCCTTCCCTGAGGCTCAAATGAATTAACACACACTTAAAGCTCTCTATAAATGTTGGCAATCATTATCACTCCAAACTGAACACAGCTTGCCACCTGTCGGCCCTCGCCCAGCTCTTCTTCCTAACTTGGCTATTTTTGTAGCGGTCAGTGCTGCCCTCCAAAGCTTTGCCGCCTTAGTCGTTCTCAGAGGTCGACCCCCTCCAGCCACCTCTGATTCAACTCTGCTCTGGGACTGGAACCAAAGTCCCCTGACTCAGACCCAGGCTCTTTCCACTGAACCACACTGCCTCCTGAATAGGAAAGCCCAAGCCGGAGCTTCAAGTACTTCCCAATGTGGCCCTAGCCCATCTTCACAGGTCCTTCCACAAGGATCCCCTTATGATATGCTGGGCCAAAGAGACCTCGGGGCCATCCCTCAGACTGGGTGGCCATCTCTGCTCCTCTCTCCTCCCCTGGCCCTCTCTGGTTCCATAGCTTCCTTCAAGGCTCAGGTCAGGTGCTCCCATGC